ATTTATCTATCCAACATAGGGAATTCAAGCTTTAAAGTAGAGATTAACTCTCTCGAGTCTAACCTCACTATTCAGGCTTTATCCTACTAATCTCTCGATTCAATAGTCTAAAACCTTGGATGCATGAACGAATACTATCATAATTCCTAGGCAAATATTCATCTCTCGTTGCAATACATGTTCTATTTATTGAATTATTTCCAGGTTAGAATCTCATATCTCTATGTGAATTAAAACTCTAAGTTCATTCAATCAAGCGGTTAACAAGATCAACGCATTAAGAACAATTCAATAAACCGAATAGAATAAATAAATTCATAGAGTCTGGAATTAAAAACCAAAGATCCCTACATAACAAATCCCTAACCTACAGCAGGGGAACTATTCGCTAAACATCGAGATATCAGGGTTCATATCAATAATACAAAACATCATAAAATAGAAGAAAGGAAGAATGCTTAGTCGATTTTTCGACTTCGTAATCTCCGTCTTCTACTCTGATCTATTGCCTCTTGATAATTTCCCCCTTTTTGTGTTCTACGATGTATTTTCTGTCAAAGTCTGAATATTTTCAACCTTAGAGGCTAACCCTAGTTATTTCCTCTTTATTTTGGGAAAATTTGGAAGATTTCCAGAATTTAAGTGACACGATCCTGTCGGCAATTAGTGACACGATCATGTCACATCGCAGTTTTGACGGGCTTCACAAATTTGCTCATAACTTCGTGCTCTGATATCGGATTTGGGTGATCTTGGTGTCTATGGGTAGATATCGAAAAAGACTTTTCAATGATGTAGTGAATACATGATTTGGACTTGTAGAGTGAAAGGTATTAGACTTGCAAGATATGACTTTTATGTGCTTTACGTTTTCTCCGAAATAACTCCAAATGTTTCTGGTTCGTCTGTGATGTTCCGTAATCCATGTTTTCTACTCCTTTTGCTTCTTTATGTGTGGATTCCTGTTTAAACACCAAAGAACATAACCAACCAATATTGAAACCAAATGTACCCTATAATGTCTAAAAATATGTAAAACCGAGTGAAATATGCTAGGACTGTCATCATGTATTGATGTCCTTCGAGGCATCTCTCCAAGTTTTGATGAATCAGCGGTGCGTCTGGAAGCTCCCACATATCTTCATTATCTGCTTGCTCGCTAAATAGACTCTCGTCATCTGGGAATGCCTCAACCATATGTGAAGTAATAGGATCGTGGCCAATGATGTTAAATTTGATACCTAACCTGGATATGGGTTGGATTCGGGAGTCATTGATCTTGATCTCATACTCTCTGGAACTCGGTCCCTTCAGGTAGTATATCCATATCATCACAGGGGTGTTCGGAGCTATGCGACCATATATGAGTTGTGTGAGGAATGACTCGTTTAATTCTCTAGGTCCATGTACTTTGTTAGCTGAATAATACCCTACATTCACGCTGACACGTCTACCAATCATCGTGATGATACCTCCTACGCATATGGGGTTAGTCCAGGGCCTTTGCATAACAGAATCGAGATGGATCATAATTCGGAAAGCCAAGTCTACCTTCTCGACGCCCCAATCCTCCTCAAGACAAAGATCTCATAAGGCATACATGAGTAGCAGCAACTCTTCCACACACACTAAGTCAGGTTCTCTCCTAGCAAACATACAGCTTGAAAAGAACAAGTGCAGAAATCTGAGTGTAGGGCGCCTGATGAGATGTGCAGGAAGGTTCTGCTCATACTCTTCATCGGCAATTTCCTCCCAAAATTCTTGAAGAACTTCTGAGCGAATGTGTGGGAACTCATAGGTATCCCCAAAAGGTAAGCCCAAGATATCCGCCATCTGACGAGTGTTAAGCCTGTGATCTTTGTTCTGAATCCTGAAAACGCAATACCCACTCTCAATAGATCTGTTGACGGGCGGGTAGTAATGGTAACTTGATAGGAACTCTAATGTAAGTTCCCTGTAGGATTCCTCCTCAACTGAGTAAAGCTTGTACCACCCTGCTTGTCTCATCAAGGTTGGTGCTTGAGATTTCCATCTCCCAAAGTGACTTCCTATCATGGATATGCTTCTGAATCTGGTAGGAATCAAGAGGGTGTTCTGGAGATCCTCATGCAACCTTCTTTGGTATTGAGATTCAAACCTTAGGGGTTTGATATCACGACTTGGAACTTCAGAGATCTCTGTCAGCGGATATATATGCGTGTCGGTACTTAACGAAGCAAAGTGAGGGCGATCATACCTCATTATGACTCGTTAGGGAGAGAGATCGATGTTCTAGCTTATGCAATAGAAGAATTTTACTGAGATATCAAGAAAAAGAGAGAGAGATCGAGGTTGGCGATGTCTGGTCGAAATTTCCTTTATATTAGATGAAATATCGATGTTCAGAACATCGATATTAAGATAGATCTGGGAAAGTTAAGATCTCGATGTTTTTCGAAGGTCGATATCGCGTTCCGCAAACTCGATATTGTCCATTGTTTCCAATTCTGCACGGAAGCTAGATATCGACGTTCTCCAAATATCGATATTATTGTTCTGAGACCTCAACATTTTCATAATCTTAGATCTAGGGTTTAGTATGAATATCGATGTTCAGAACATTGATATCGATGTTCAATAACATCGAGATTTCGTAAAATTTCACGAAAATTTGAAATTTCGCACTTTTCTCAACGCCGATCACTTTTGGTCCTTTTTCTAGCAACGTATGCTCATGATGCATGAAATTAAACGTGTTTATACAATACAATTATACGAGTTGCCTCTCGTGAATCGCTAATTTAAGGTCATCAGCTTGACCCTCTTATTTTCAGTGATCTGGTGACCATATTGGACGGAATTGGTTCAATCTCCACCGTCCTGGGGGTATGTACATTGTACTGGTGCACACGGTCTGTCTCAGCTTACAATCGTTTCTGCTTGCAGATTCAGGAATTGGATCTGGCGGTTTCGCTTTAGTGCCTGGTGAGAGAAGAATAGAAGTTCACGGTATTTCGGGAAGAAGAAGGAAGATTTGATCGTGGAGACTACACATCTGCATGAGCCTTTCTTTCCTCTCTTTTGTCTCTTTTCTTATGAGCTTTTGTTGTTTTCTATGAACCGTGAGTAGATCCACGACTATGGGTTAGGGATTCGTTTGTGTTTTGGGTATGTTTGAACCCTAACTTGGATTTCAGTTTCGATTTATTTCGGTTCTATTGATTTGTGCTTTTATTCGATTGATGTTTGCTAATCCCTTGGTCAATTATTTTAGATTCTAAACTACATAGAGATATGAGTTTAGTTTCGGATCAAAATCAATAGGATAAATCGTATTATTCACATAGAGATATGGTTTAATCGATCTAGGGTTGATGATAGCATTCTTCATGCATCTAGGGTTAACTTGAATAGATCGAGAGAGAGTTATTATGTAGGTAGTGAGTTAGTAGACTGAGAGGTGAATTTTCTATCTTTGTTTCTTGATGATTCCCGAACACAAGTCATAATCGTTATTCTCGCATGCTTAGCATATATCCATACACTCGAATACAGTCCCGACACCCGTGGTCATCTTAGATTGATAGTTTACTCGTTTTTATTGCTTTGCTTCCTTTTTCCATTCATTCCACATATTTCTACCATCACTTCCACTTCCTTGCTTTGATTTGGTTTCGATTAGGGTTTAGATTTAGCTACCGGTCCTTGCATTCGATCCCGTGTTACGACGATCCGTATTCTTGCGGTGAGTTGTGAATCGGGTTATAAATTCTAGACTCGATACACACACATCAAGTTTTTTGATACCTCAAAGGTTGTAAGAGATATGGGTTTAGTTTCTAAGATAATTGACCAAGGGATTAGCAAACATCAATCGAATAAAAGCACAAATCAATAGAACCGAAATAAATCGAAACTGAAATCCAAGTTAGGGTTCAAACATACCCAAAACACAAACGAATCCCTAACCCATAGTCGTGGATCTACTCACGGTTCATAGAAAACAACAAAAGCTCATAAGAAAAGAGACAAAAGAGAGGAAAGAAAGGCTCATGCAGATGTGTAGTCTCCACAATTAAATCTTCCTTCTTCTTCCTGAAATCCCGTGAACTTCTATTCTTCTCTCACCAAAAGCTCTCCAAAAGTCTGTATCTAGGTGTTCTCTAAGGTTCTCCCTGTACTAGGACGTAGCTAGGTGTTTTTTATAACCCTAGGGTGGCTCCCAAGAGTTCTACTCTCAATCAGATGCTGAAAATCGCGAATTAGGGTTTTTGACTGGATCCGGGCCGATTCCAGGTGGATCCGGATCGGATCCAGATTCCTGGGCTCGAGCTCAGCTGTCTTGATTCGGACCGAATCCATCCGGATTTGGCCCTATACTGGCAGAATTCTGATCTTCACGGTTTTGCTCATAACTTTCTACTCCAGTGTCGGATACGCGATTTTGGTGTCTACGCGAAGATCTTGAAGTGCTTTTTCCAAATGGTACAAGTCTCGCACGATTTGGACCTCTGTAGAGAATTATTGATGTCGCAACATGAGTACCTCATCCGGACTTCTCCTTTAACGCTCCAAATAGGTCTTTTTCGAGTCCAATCATCTTCGAAACCTGTAACTCTGCAAAACTAAAGCACAACCGGGTTTTGTGTCCTAACACGCCTAGAATGTCTATGAATGCATGTGATTATCCCATAAAACCTAGACAAACTCTTATCAAAATATAGAGAAAAATAGGAGTTATCAGTGCCCGATCCATCATAAGGAATCTTTAACGTTATGCTCTGCTTTGTAGAGTTCCTCCATCAGGTTTGTTTTGAAATGTCTTCATCGGGATTTCAGGTTTGGCTTTAATCCCATTCTCTGCCTTTGAGCTTTCAGATTTAGTTACTGATAGGATGTAGACATCTTCATCATAAGTGATTCCCTTGCCTTTATCCTTTGGTTGCGAAATTTTCTTTTCCTGTATACGAGGTGGTTCTTTCGGAGTAGTCAATAACTGTGCAAGTTTTTTCCTTAGCCTATTATGGTTTTGGTTTCAGCTTAAATTCAATGTCCTTATCTCCAATATGCATCTTGATGCATCCCTTTCGGACATGAATTACATCATCAATAGTGTTGAGGAATGGACGTCCTAAAATGATTGATTTATCCTTTATGTTGTCCATATCAATTACCACAAAGTCGATCGTAACATAAATATTTCCAACCTTAAGTGTTACATCCTCTAAAGTCCCAAGAGGGGCTTTCACTGACTTGTCCGCCAGCTGTAGAATCATTTTAGTGGGTTTCAGTTCACCCACGTTCAACTTATCATATGTGGTCTTTGGTAACAGACTCACACTCGCTCCTAAGTCGCACAGTGCGCTAGGAATAGAGACATTGTCCATTTGGCAGGGTATAGAGAAACTTTCTGGATCCGCCATCTTGGCTGGTAAGTTCTGTTGCAGTACAACACTGCATTCACCTGTTAGGATTACGGGTTCCTCTTCTACTTTCTCCTTTTTGACGAGTGAGTCTTTAAGGAATTTTTCGTAAGATGGTGTTTGCGCTATAGCTTCTTGTAGAGGCTGAGAAATTTCCATCTTTTCCCATATATCGGCGAAGTTTGTAAGCTTTCCATCTACTGGTGATTTACGTTGTAATCGCTGTGGAAACGGTATAGGAGGAGGTCGTGGAGACGGTGGAACGTACACGTCCTTTAGGTCCTCTACCATTAAATTCTTTTGTTGTTCTAGATATGCTTTTCTCCTTTCAGCATAGATCCTCCTTGTTCCATAAATTTTGTTGTCTTCCACATAGACGGCGTTACATTGCTCACGAGGGTTTGGTCTGGTTTACCAGGCAAAGTGCCTTACGTTCTGCTAGGCTTAACTGCAAGTTGAGCTACCTGATTGTCTAGAAGCTTAACATGGGACTCTATCCCTTGGATTTGCTTCTTAAGATCACTTTGCTCGGTGACCATCCCTTGCATCGCGCTGCTCATAGATACTTGCACTTGTGGCTGTTGTTGTTGCTGACCCCTAAACTGTTGGTTTCCTTGATACTCTTGGTATCCTTGGAACAGTTGTTGAGGTCTTTGTTGGAAAGTTTGACCTTGAAATGGTCCCGAGTTTTGGAACGTGCGATTTCAGTTCTCTTGAAGAGCATTCTGGTAGTTGTTACTCTTGTAAGAGAAGGTTGGATGGTTTCTCCAGCCAGGGTTGTAGATGTTGGAATAAGGATTGTTGGCAACATAGTTGACATCCTCAAACCCCTTGTTCTTTAGACAACATAGATTGGTTACCATTGAATTGACCCGAGATTTCGCCTAAAACATTACGAGCTGGCGATAAGATTTGCATCTTTAGTTCAGCTAGTTTGACTTTAATAGCATGGACTTCACTCACGTTCTCTACATTCCCCATTTTTCTAGAAAACTCAGTTGGAGTGGTTCTATCACTGGCCATTCGCTCGATAAGTTCTTCCAGTTCATCAAAGGTTAGCTTTTGAAGGCTACCTCCACTAGCGCAGCTTATGTAGAACCTTATTTCGTAGCTCAATCCATTTAGGAAAGTTGACAGAAGGTAATATCTGTCGAAGTTGTGGTGAGGGCATGCTCGTTGGTCTTCCTCGAATCGTTCCCAATCTTCACCCAAGGATTCTCCATGTTCTTGTGAGAAAGAATTAATCTTGTTCTTTGCAAGCTAGGTCTTGTGAACAGGGAAGAATCAGTTCATGAATTTGTCAGCGAGTTAATCCCATATATGGATCGAATCTGCTGGCAAAGCGTAGATCCATTCAAGTGCTCTTCCCGATAAAGAGAAAGGGAAAGCAAGAAGTAGCACTTCCTCAGTTGAAACTTCGTTCGCTATTCTAACGGATTGACAGGGTGATTTAAACTGATTCAGATGCAAGTTGGGATCCTAGTAGAGTTGCCTCTAAAAGCATTTCCGGTAAGCATCTAGATGAAGGCAGGTTGTATACCAAGACGAGTTCGCCCGTTTCCCGATCTACGAATGCAGGAAAGTAGTGGTGTGTGCTTTGGAGCAGTGTAGTCTCCAAAAGTAAGTGCTTCATTTGGCTCGACTGCTCTCGGTGGAGCAGCGTTATGCGCAGGATGGTCATCAATATTTCTATTGTCGTCCATTGCTTTCAATCTCCTTCGTTGCCTTAGGAGTTGAAGTGTTCTTTCGATTTCTGGATCAGGAGAAAGTAGAGTTTAACTTCCACGGCTTCTGGTCATAAAACGAAAGAATTAGAGTTTTGGTTCCTAAAAGAGGGGAATCTGATGGTGGTGGAAAGAAAGATGATGATGGTGGAAAACTAGAATCTAAATCGGTACCAAGACTAAATCTCAGTCCCCGACAATGGCACCAAAAACTTGATCGTACAAATCTAGGTGCATGGATTTGAGTCAAGTAATAAAAACCTAGACTAAGCCGATTCTACAAGGGTACAGATTCGATGTAGTACCAGGGTCGAACACAGGGACCGAGAGGTGATGGAGTCGATTGTGATTCTAGCTATGCGAAGGTTGGTTGCAGATTGATTGGTTGGTTGGTTGGAAAACTCTATAACTAAGACACTGTAGGTTCGGGGGTTCACCGATGCTATGGATGGTTTCTAAAGATCTAGATTGAATTGCAGTTTTGATAGATTCGGGAAACTCTAGGTTTTAAACTAGAATGCGTCAGGGTCAGAGATCATCGTTTTCTAATTAATGCTTTCCTATCAGCTTCCGCATCTCTAGATCCACATTAGAAGCATTAACGTCCGCTATCATTATTCCTAGTTCGAATTAAGAATCCCTTATCAAGTCCCTCCTATGCGTTCAGAATTAATAATTGAACATATCTTATGAACGAATTCTGGTTTAACTAATTAATCCAAATCCCTTTGCAATTAACTAAACCAAATTCAATTCATACAGGTGATCAATCTGATGAAAGCATTAAGATCAATTCATAAAACCAGGTCTAAACAAAACATACAATAATCATATTAAAAACATGAACCAATCCATAACATGGCTAGAATCCCTAGCCTAAAGCAAGTAAACTACTTACGATCCATGAGAGAAAACGAAACTACAACAGATTCATACAACATTTCAGAAGACATAGAGAAAGGAGACTTATAGAATGTAGAATCAATCTCTAAACTCCGAAATGTAGCAATCCTCTAGCTCCAAATGCTCCCGAAACATCGAAGGAATGAAGTACGGTTGAAAACTGTCGTGAAACATGAAATGTGCGAACCCCTCTCTGTGTTCTGTACGGTTATTTTTATAGATTCTTCGAAATATCGATGTTGGGAACATTGATATTGATGTTCAACATCAATATTCTCCCAAAGTGTGGAGATCTCTATGTTCTGGAACGTCGATATCGATGTTATGGAATATCGATATCGATGTAAAGGAGCGTTGGTATCGAGGTTGTATAACGTCGCGATATCGATGTTCTTAACATCGATATTCTTCCTGCTCCATTTCCAAGTCCGTTTCTCGCCCGTGACTAGTCTGCGACCCTCTTTAGCATGTCCTTGATCGTCCACTTGGTCCATTTAAGCTCCAAAATCACCGTTTTAGCTCTGTTTTCGTCCAAATACGCAAATATTCCTGAAAGGACATCAAAGAACGAAGAAAACAGTATTCGTGCCTAAAATGTAGTCTAAATACTAAATATATACGGAAAAGAAAGGTGAAATGCAGCTAAAACCACATCAAAATAACGTCAAAAACCGATGTCATCAGTATCATCAAAGTGTTTCCATATAGAAGCTGTGGATTTTTTAGAAAAGCATGTGACTGTTGAAGAGCTTGAATTTTTTATACAACGATCGCAATAAGGCATATCTTTCACATGAAAGAAAAAGCAAACATTGAAGCTGAGTTTAACGGTAGCACTCATCAATCGAACTATCAGAACGAAGAAAGATAATGAACTGTGGTTCTATATTAATGGAGTACCAATTCGGTACTCATTGTGGGAACATGCAGTTCTTTCGGATATGAATTGTAATCTATTACCGGAGAACTTGGAGGAACTCGGCATAACTGATTTCTACAAAAAGCATCTTGGGGAGGAAAGTTATGAGAAGGTTCTCAAGACAGATGTTAGAAAATTTTTGGTGAATTGTGTGTAGATGAAGTGCAGGACATGTATAATATGGCTTATTCACCAACACAATGAAGTCGTTAATCCATTTCTGCTGAGAATTGTTAACGATACGGAGGCCTATGAAGCCTTTCCTTGAGAAACATTCACCTTTGAAAATGTTCGGAGTTATAGGTTCAATTACTTAATAGGTATAGAAAACCGGTCAATCAATGGAACCTGCCAGGTTTTATAATTACACTTACGGTAGGTGATTTAAATAAAGCAAACAAATTAAAGAGTGATGAAACGAGAGAATGAGAAAATGCAGTAATAATGTTGTGGTTTAAATTGCAGATGTTGCCTTTCGAGTGTATTCCTAGACTTCGTCATGCGGGATGGTACAATGATGTGGCACCGAGAGGAAATGTTATGCCAACCTGTCCGCACATGTCCAGAAACTGCTTCATACCGAATAAAAAATATGGTATGAAACAAGGGTTAGCAAAGCTTGGTAGAGCATAAGTACACAACTGAACTTGAGAGTTTTTATGCAGTATCTTAATGAAATAGTTTGTAATCCATAAATTATAAGTCTTAATGTACACAACAAATATATTGATTTGTTTTAACATTCGTTTCAGAACATTTACAGCAGTCTGATGATAAGCGAGGAAGAAAGACAAAGATAACAAAGATATTGTTGGTGATAAATGGATGAAGAGTTTGACCAAAAATCCAAATGTTGTGAGTTGGAACGATATACTTGAGGACGACGTGAAATCACGCATCGTAGTTCTGATGATGAAGAAACACAACAAAAGAAAAGGTCATGCTTCAGCCAAGAAACTTGAAAAAAAAAGGAAAACCAAAAAAAAATAAAAGACAAGTGAATGAGGAGAATGAGAGAGAAGAAGAAGAAGGAGAAGGAGAAGAAGTAGAGAAAGAGGAAGAACCAACAGATATAGGCAATGTTGTTCAAGGGTAACAAATAAGAAAAGGGGCTCAAGACTTGAAACAACTGAAGTGTGAAATGAGAAATTTGAAAGGAAGGGCTGGGTTTTTAAGCAGGCAGGTGACTGGGTTGAAGGATTGTTTGGACATAATAGAAAAAAAAGGTAGGTGATGGACAAGTTGAACAACTGAAGAAAGTGGTTGCTGCAGGCATAGTCGCAACGGGCAAGTATGACTCACCCCTTTGAAGTGGAAACTAGAATCGAGTTCTTGATGAAGAAGATGAGCGAGATCTTGGGAACAAATGAAAAGGGTGAGGCTTCGGGTAGACATGCAACAACCCATATAAAAACAAGTGAACCTGAAAGGGGAAGTGATGTGAGTTCACCACTTGATGTCGAAGATGATATTGGTAATATTTCTACGGAGATAAATGAGCTGCCAATACAAAATGTTACAGAAATAGAAGAAAAAGCCAATGGAAACCTAGAAAGGGTGATTGCGGATATTCTTGGGCAATTAGCTGAAGCAAAAAACATTAAGAAAGTGGATGCAGAAGAAAAAGGGGATTTAGAAGAAGAAGAAGAAGATGAGGGTTCGGAGGAAGAAGAAGATGAAGGTTCGGAAGAAGAAGACGAGAATGATGGAGAGAAAGAAGTAGGAGAAGATGATGAGGAAGAAAA